TAGCAAACCTTTCCGCTGCTGGTTCCATGTGGCTTTTTGATGCGCCTGTCGCTGAATGGAGCCATTCAAATGGTAATTCGTAACATTCTGGCCTCTCAACTGTAAAGCGTATCCCTGAATATACCTTATTGAAGTTCAATAACAGATCGTTGAGGTAGTAGTGATCGAAATTATTGATGACTGTGTGCAGCCAATGGTTCGAAAATCACATGCGAATCTTGGATCTCTGTCTTTCAAATGCTTCAACAATGCTGAGATTTGACGGACCCAATAATTTCTCAAATATATATATTTATAGTTGAATGAATGAAATTGCTTTGTTCTATGGAAGACTCATTTTTCAAGGTATAAACGTTTCCTGTTTTACATATAACAGGAGCTGTCTTAGCTGGTTCTATCATCCGAAAATTTTCATAACAAATCTTGATCATTGCATATACCCATTGTATACCCATGTGACTGAATACTTCCGCAAAGATACACATTACAATGAATCTCTTCTAAACTCGTCCTCAAATACTTCCCATTACGCATTTTCACTTTGACGCATCCTTTAAAAATCAATGCACATTTTTTCTAACATGAGGATTAGAATCTTCGAATTTAATCCGGTCACTAGCGCTCGGACCGTGTTGATAGCGCATTTCTGGGTGGTATTTTCGGTCAGACGTAGACGAGTGTTTTCCATGCCGGGTTGGCTTGATCGTTTAGAACGATACATCAACCGATCGAGAGCTCTAGAGGCTGGACAGATTATTGTTTCAACGTTATCCCTGTGGACATGTTCAAATAGTGTGCCAAACCGTGGCGATTGCCTTGTTTGTTTCGAATAGTCCGGGATGTGGTCTCAGGTGGAATTTCTGTTCGCTATTAGCGTATATACAGCATGGTATGCATTCCATTTCTCTACCGATTTACTGATATCCAATTGTCTCTATCATATTATACTAAAATAATGCCGTTTCAGGTCAAAACCCCTGTCGGATCCTTCCATGTACATAATCCTTGTTCTTTCCCACTTCGGTGCCAATAATCGCGTAAAACATATGTTCGCGTCACATGTATTGCATCATTCCTTTTTTCTGATCAAAAGGCACACTGAAAGCGTCGGACATGCTTTCTTTTGTCTTCTGGGTCTGGCTCATTTTATCTTTTTACCAAACAGACAGGTTGTTGTCGGCTAAAACGAAAGCACATACTTGAATAGCAACATGCAACGCAAAACATCTCTGCTATCTCAATTAAACTAACAGGTGACTCGGGGGAGAACAAATTTGTTAAGTCGGTAAAGCTGCACGCAAGTACTGAGACATGATATTGTATCAATCTGATGGGGCAAATGAGCGACATGAACGACAGGAATCCAGAATGACCTAATCCGTTAGTCGTGATTTATTGCATTAGTGAGCCTTTCTCCCATCCACTATTTTCTCTCGCTCTCTCTCACACACACTCCCTCTCTCGCCTCGTTTCGAGTGACTTGAGTCACGTGATTCATCAACTATTTCATTTCTGGTTTGTCACCCAATCTCTTCTCACTATTCCATGAATATCCGATCATCCTTATACGGCACCTCCACTCCGCGGGGTGATACATAAGACTATCACAATTGGGAAAATATTGATACGATGGGAGTAGTCCGAACGACACAACTATACATTTCGTTCAGACATCGATTTTAGTCGGCAAGAATGTGTCGAGTAGAAGGTTAATGGGGGTTAAATAAGTATGTCTTTTTACTTTTTTTTATATATTTATTGAATATAAAAATTTACATTCAACATTCATGAAGGGAGGGCAGCGGGCATACAAAGGCTGTCTGGGAATATGGGCTTTATGTGGTTCCCCACTCCAAGTGCCGAGGATCAGGTTGCCGGTTCTCATCACTGAACATCAGGTCTTCGTGACTATGGGGTTTGCCCCGTCTACTGTTCATCACACAATGGTGTGTAATATTTTAAAAAATGTTTAGCTATCAGTTATCTCAAATGGTTTACTAGAAATAACCGAAGATTGATTACTTCCCCGTGACACACAGAATGTGAACTACATCGAAGCATGCAAACGTTTGCACAAAGTTCGTGAGGGTGCGGACTAGGGTACCGATAAGAATACTACTGATAATACTGAACGAACATACGTCAGCGGTAAACAATATCAATGCAATCGAGTACCGCACATATGTTCAGTTGAATATCTTCTGATATGACAAACAGGTATTCGTGAGGAACAAACTTAAGCCCATATATATTACCAATACCCTTTTATAGGATATTTTGGTCGGAGTGCTTCTTGCAAATCACCTTACACTGTTCTCCGATCGATTTGTTCCGGATTAGGTAGAAAAGGGGCGTCAGAAAACTTTTGTCGAACCACAAACCATCCTGTTACCACCGTCTGCCCAGCTGTTATCCGGTGAATTACGGGATTTGTACGATATTGGTGTTTGCAATGACTGTCGGTACCACCAACCCCTCTCAATTTCGATAACCCATTCAACTACTCCCACCGCATTTTTGTCCCCTACGCGCTAGAATCATTGTGAACAGAACTTATCTTGACTGATTAAGAAGAGAAAACAAGCAGTCGGACAGTTGCATGCAAGCTTTTTTCAGGTGTGCGACTGTTTTTTTTTTAAATTTCGATTTGAGGATAATCGGTTTCTGAAAGTAGCTAACTTCACAGTTCTCTAAATTTAGGCACGATTATATTGTGTTTTCAAGTGGACGGACGATTTCTATCAAATTTTTATTCTAATCTATGGTTCATGAGCGTTGATAACTGTTTACCTGGAATAAATCATGTTTACCTAACAGTGTACCGCTCTGACAAGTCTGTGATTCTGTTCATTCAATTGTGTTGTATACAATAAACAGTGCGCGGGAGGATGGTTCTTTTATTTTTCACAGGAGGCTAATGCAACCGGACAGCTGTTTCGGTTTTGTCCAGACTAGTTGTCACTACACAATTTCTGCATCCGCCATACCGCTATGCAGCCTAAATACCGAAAAGTGCTCCCGATTGTCACATCTCACAGCATTCTAATTAGTCGGTGGAATTTCTTTTATCAAAGTGATTTACTAATTTTATTCTAGTAAAAAATATACCTGTACCTTTGTATCATGTGTATGATTAAATTAGAGACAGGCATTGTTTCTTTCCAATGTGGAAAATAATCTTAACAGTTTTTGTTTAACAATTAGGAGAAGAAAACAAAACTAGCCTGGGCACCACGTCGAGAATTTGATAGAGTAAATCATCAAATACTGATACGGAAGCTGTATAATTATGGAATCCGTGGACTCGTACTTCGTTGGATCGAGGAGTTTCTTCGCCTACGCACCATATCAGTTCGTGGTTTCGATCCACTTTCTGATCCAATAGATGTTAATCGTGCGGTTCCACAGGGATCTGTGCTAGGCCCACGTCTTTTCCTTGCCTTTATAAATGATCTTCCACACGTCATCGGACCACAAACTCTGCTGTTTGCGAACGATGCCAAAATATGGAGGACAATAACAAAACCCGAAGATGCATTTGATCTCCAGAAGGCCCTTGAAGAAGCCCACAGATGGTCTGTCTCCAATGGTATGGAATTCAACGTTACTAAAGTTTTATCACTTTTTCACAATGGTCGTTTTTCTTACACTCTCGGACACGAAACTCTGCCTCATGCTCCATCCGAGAAGGATATGTGAGTAGTCATGCGCACACCTGAGTTGCTCCACAAACTGTTCCACGGCATTATCCATGGCGGTAAAACAGGTTGGACTGCTCAAACTTGTTTTTGGATCGTTTGAGCCGGCTTTGTTTCCACGTCTGTTAGCCACATATATCCGTCCATACACTGAGTACTCAATTCAGGCCTGGAACCCATGGCTGCAGCGAGATAGGAAGGCACCTGATCATCCACAGAGAATGGCCACCAAGATGGTCAAAGGTCTACATTCCAAAATCTATGGCGAAATATTACAGGTATTGGGGCTATACTAAACTCAATATCGTCAAACCATAGGCGATATGATCTTACCGTATCGGATTTTCCAACAGCCCAACCATCCATGTAGATCTCATTTTGATTCTATCAACGAATGTTCATTTCAGGGGGCATCCTTTGAAGTTGGCACTCCAAAAGATCCGCCTCGACTGCGGACGCCATTCATTTGCGGTCAGTGTGCAGCAAATGGAACTCTCTACCACCTCACGTGGTCTGTGCGCCAACATTAGTATCTTTCAAGCGTCAGCTTGATGATGCTCTGGCAAACATTATGTTTTAATACCCAACTACATAATATATTTTCCTGTGCTCGTCACAAACATTACATTACTATTTTACTTTCATGGACCAACTGTGATCTTGTGAATCGTGTTCCGAACCCAAAGTGTAAACACCCCATGGGATTTGATAAGCGTAGTCTTTGTAAGTTTTTTCCCACGATAAAAATTTGAAAATTTGAAATTTGATATTTTGTCGCATTCGTGTAGAGAAATGTTGGACGGGCTGAAACGACAAATGACATGCTTGAGCGAAAAAAGTTTTACTTCGCCTTTTCATGAGTTTCAGATAAAGTGAGACAATATAAAGCAGCGTATCAACAAGCGCGCAGTCATTTTTTTGCCTAAATTTAAGCGTTTAAATGCGGCTTTTGTATGAGATAGTCCGCGGGTAAGGAAAGCAGATCGGTGAATATGCAAGACAGACGGCCGCCGTTTCAAAAGCTAGATATTGCACAAGTTTCATACAAAATTGCCTCTGTTGAAAGATTGCACTGCTTGTACCATGTCACACATGAACAAAAGTTAAATGCAATTTGCAACGCATTCGACAAGACCAATTGGATGCAGATTGATACGAAACAACACGCGGTTGTATACATGCTCCTGGAGGTTAATTTGGAAGCCTCCGATCGCGAAGCGATGACAAACTTGTCGTGTACCGGTTTTATTATTCTGTCAAAATCACCGTGTGGATCGTCAGATATCGACATTTTGGTTTTTTTTAAGGGAACTGCATTTTTTCCTGTTTCCGATCCACCGTGTGACCTCCCGAGTCACGTGAATCACATGACACTTCGACCAAGTCGTTCTGAAGTGAACGAAATTTTGTGTATTTGCAACACACGAGGGCGTACACGGCGCGACGAAACGTGTGCCCGATCAAACAGTACAGAATGAAATTGCAGGTCAAATTAATCGCGAACATGAACAGGGAAATGTGATACGCGTCGGAAAACGTTCTCCTTGACAGCGGCACAAACGTTTCCACACCAACAAACACCAAACTTGGTGTGCTCAGAATGAAGAATGTGATCGAGACGAAAAACAGACGCAGTGTGAGCGTCCGTTCCGCGTTCAACGCTTCACGATGATTCTCGCTCAGTGCCCGGTTTTGTGTCAGCTCCGAGTCGGATCTGACCGGTCTGGACCGGTTATCGTCCATCTGTTCATTTTCTGTCCTAATCCAACGATGACGTCGTTTAGCTAGAGTTTCAGCTATACGTGAATTGGTCATAAACAAAAGCCCCGAGGGTAAAATGGTGAACAGTAGGAATCCGGCCAGTAGACAATCCCTGAAAATGGTGTTTGGTATGCATAACCGGTGAGTGGAATTTGGATCACCGCCAGCTAGATAGATTTTGTATGGTGGAATAAAAAGTGGAATGGGAAATCCGTATGGATATTGGTGGCAATCTGTGTGTGTGTGTGCAGGTGTGTCNGTGAGTCACAACAGGCAGTGCATGTATATCTGCCCGAATTTGAACAACGGAGCCCGACCGAAGGGAACCCCAAATCAGATTAGTGATTTAATTTTTGAAACAGCCCTGTCCTCGTGTGAGGATAGCGGGATCGATTTGCTCTCAGGTGGTAGACTGTCTGACTCATAGAGTATGCAGACGTCATTGTGCTACAGAGAGAAGATCCAGGTAATTTGCAAACTTTTCTGGATCGCTTCTCAGTGCAAGTGTGGCCATCCCTGTTCGGTATGCGCCTATTATTAATGGAATCTATTATCGCTGGAAT